GCGAAAAATTCGTATAGCCTATTGTTAAGTGATCAAATGCCAAATTAATAATAAAATAATGGAACGTATCATAGGATAAAGAAATCGATTGTTACTTTATCGATAAATATAATCGACAAAGGAAACAAATATTAAGTTAAAACTTCATTCATGTTTGGAACCAACAGACTTAAAAATTTCAATGAGCTGTATCTTTGCTAAAAATTGTAAGATTTCGATGATTTTTTTTTTTCCTTTTGTAGGAAATTTAGTAATCTTTTATATAATCACGGACACGCAAAATTGGTGGCTCAATCTTGGGATTAGGTGAAGAATTAATGATATGGCTTGCCGATCAAAAATAGCATCGATAAATAATATAAACTCCTCCTCTCTCGATCATAGAAGCCTCAAGTCGACGAAATGAGACATGTATTCAATGGCAGTACTACAATTAACGTAAGGTTGAGTGGATAAGAGCGGTATGCCTTGCGTTATCTCGAAAATAGTACCTTTTTGGTCTTAAAAACGCAAGGCTCCATAGTTCCGAAGCAACTATCCGGGTCTTGCTGTACGCACCAAAATCTTCAAAGTCCAATTTATCCCGCATCGATCTACAGACTTACCACCGTTCCCGTATTGAAGCCAAGCAAAATGTTTGTATCGCCTATATTTATTTTAGAAAGAAAAACAAAAGTGGTGAATACGATCAGCTAATTCCTCGTGAAATTTTGAATCCAACGGTACTCCATTCATGGTATTTGAGCATGACAGGAGCTTTTATTTGGTACAAAACCGATTTGGACCTTACTATAATAATATGTGTAGGGATCATATTTTCACTTGCACCACTTATAACAAGAGAAGTGCCATACAATTTCTTGGGAAAGGGGTACATACCCATCATCATTAGAGGGGAGGGGATAGAATGGACATTCAGGAATTTTCTGAGAGGATTTCCTTTGGTATCATGTTCATATACCTAAGTAAATTATTGTATACCTTAATAAATAAATAAGGAAAACAATGAAAACTATTGATTTTAAAGTGATTTATTATCAACTAATTTTTAATTTTGTCAACTTAATGACTACACATCTCAATTGCGACGTTTCGGCTTCAAGTCTAACAATTTTTTTCAATTTACAATCATATCTAAACTTTACATATTTCAAAATACAAATTTTTTTTATATACCTAAATACCAATCCAGGTATATAAAAAAAATATTTATATTTTGAAATATGTAAAGTTTAGATATGACTGTAAATTGAAAAAAATTTTTAGACTTGAAAATGGCTCGACGTTGTAATTGAGATGTGTAGTCATTTAGTTGACAAAATTAAAAATTGGTGTAAAATTGGCTGATAATAAATAAACTTGAAAATAAATATTATGCACCGAAGAAAAAGTGAGAAATATTGTGATAATTATTGATCATAGCATTCAATAATAATTCAAACAAATTAATAATAATAAATCCCATTTGAAAATTTAAAACATTCTTTGTTACCTTAAGCTACCAAATGCTTCCATCAGAAGATTGAAACCGCTCTTTAACAATTATTCTGGGGAAAAAAGAGTGGAGCTTTATAGATTATTAGAACATTAAATTTTACTAATTAAATTATTGTATGTAAAGTATGCTATATATTATAATCAATATATATTATAAGTAGAAGAAAATAAGCCACCGAAGATTAAAAATATCCCAAGGAGTCTCCTAATAAACAAAATTTCGAAAAGGGTGAAGTCTATTTAATATGAAAACAAAAGCCTCCGGGCATATATGAATAGAAAATCAGTGTCGTGATCACATAAACAGTTAAACATATTCTCTTATTGAATGATAGATACTTTACCAGATGAAGAAATAAAGATATTAGTATCCTTGTCCTTGTGGAGAGGATACTCCCTTGACTTTTCATCACAAAAGGATCACATCATACGTACTATAAGCTACATAGTACCTACTATAAGCGAGTCTATATATACCTATGATAGCTGGAACTTCCAAGTGATCACGGATAAAATAAAAAAAAAGCCTTAAGCAACTTGAAAAATATATTTGCGAACCACAAAACAAAAAGTAGCCTAATCAACAAAGGCTGGAGAGATGAAGTATAGAAGAAACCCTGCTATATGGACCCTGTTCCAAGAGTAGAAAGACCGGAATGAGCTCAGAAGATATAATTAACGGGCTTAATCTTAGCATGAATAATTTCATGTAAGTACTGATTCCACGAAGAGTGCGGAGAGACTGCGAAAGCAATGACTTCAAGCCACGTGTCTACCTGATGGATGTTATATTAAAATAATATCTGTCATCGAGACTAAAGCAAAGCAAGCCCTACATGCTTGGAACATGATCTGATCTATTATAAATTTTTGTAATTTATAATAGATTATAATGATGTTGAGATGGAATATTTTGACTGTGATATAATATGAAAAGGAGTTCTTCGGAAGGTGTGGTCAAATAAATACTAAATTTTTAAAAAATAGTATTTTTAATTGTTACGTTGACGTTTAAGTCTATCAACTGCTTCCTGCAGTGCCGCATGCCACGCCCTGATGAAGACCTGCAAGGTGGGTCGAAAATGTCAATGTAACAATTATAAATACTATTTTTTAAAAATTTAGTATTTATGTGATCACACCCCCCAACCCACTCCTTTTCATTAATAGATTATAGCTCATTTAATACATATTTAATATTTTTTTTTATTCTGTACAAGCAATTAGATTAATTGACATATAATACCCTAAAAATCTGGGAAAAAGTGATGAACAAATAAATAATATAAATTTTGTTTAAGTATATTTTTTCTCCGCTCTTAAGGCCCATTGAAATGAATGCTGGAATATATTCCCAATATTTTACAATGTAGCATCACAAAAAAAAAAGAAAAAAAAAGGTTGTAATCAGTGACCCACAGACTGTAGTCTCCCCTTGTGAGTAATTCAAAATTATTCATAACCAAAATAACTTATTTATAAGGACGTAAAAACAAAAATTAAATGAACAGAAACAGAACAATCACCTGCTCTATATCCAATGCAAAGCAAACTACTTCCTATTCCTTTAAAAAAAAAATATATATATATATATTTCAAAGCTGAAATCGATTTATTCAAACAGTGAATACTTTCATTATGATATGTTTGTTTTTATAAATAAGACACACTAATAAATCTTTATAAAATTTCATTAACTATAAAAAATATAAAAATTTGTTTTGATTATATTGGGGGCCTCAGTTCTTAATGGCTCTGGGGAGTGATTTTTGACAAAGTATCCAACAAAAAAGTTCATTTGATGCATCGGCAGATTATCATCGGAAAAGGAGTTAACACCAATTTGGGTTTTTTCTTAAAATAGCCACAGTTTTTATTGAATAAGAAGGAATTGCTCAAAAACTGTTAAAGATAATTGAAGTCTAAGTATACCATTGCCATGTAGACACAACTTTGTTGAGAAAACAGACATTAAATTTAGTAAGGTCGATGATAAATGGGATTTTCAGCTCTAATACGGCTGTTGTACAGCTGCAGTTATATTACCCTCACACAAGCAGAACATATTTGTATAGCAGCCGTATTAGACCTTCTGAAAGTCCCTTTGAACATTTACCGTAGTAAATTTGATCACTATTTTCTCAAAACAATTTTGTCTTCTGTTTAATGGTGCACTTATAATTTAATATCCTATTTTAAGAACAAATTAAAAATGTTGTTAGTTACAAAATACATTCTGGCATAGGCTCTAAGGAGAAACAATTTTGCATAAATTCACAAATAATATTTTTATCTGCTTTTATTACCTAAATCAGACGTGGCCAATTTATTGGCCAGATAGTAACATACTTTTTGAAAAAATATTTGCAAACATTGTAACCTTACACTGATATCTCATTATGAAACTCATTTTCAAGCTAACTTTGAACTAAATACGAACAACAGACTGACTGACTTTGAAATCAGCAAAGACTGAACTGAAGACCTAACTACTGTATATAAAACCTCTTCCTTTTATATAGATATTGACCATGATCCTCAATCCTCTCAGATCATTTAAGAATGAAATTGAATCACCGATTTTTTTTTTTTATAAACTACAAAACCCTACAAACCCACTTCCCCCCTTCAAAAACCACACCACCCCACAACCAACAAACACAAACCACACAAAAACTAACAACAAAAAAAACAAAAAAAAAAAAAACCACCAAAACAAACCCACAACAAAACCCAAAAAACAAACAAAAACCACAAAAAAAAAAAAACAAAAAAAACCAACAAAAACAAAACAAAAACAAACAAAAAAAAAAAAAAACAACAAAAAAAACAAAACACAAACAAAAAAAAATACAAAAAACAAAAAAAAAAACAAACACACACAAAAAACAACAAAAAACCAACAACACACACACCTACCCAACCCACCCCCCCCAAAAACAAAACAAAACCACAACCCCCACACCACACCCCCAAAAACACAAAAACACAAAAACAACACACACAAACACCACAAAAACCCACCACAACAAACCAAAACAAACAAAAACAAAAAAACACAAAACAAAACAACAACCCCCCACCCCACACACACCCAAACAACAACAAAAACACCAAACACAAAAACACACCACAAAACTACAACACACACACAACACACACACACACACAACACACAACAACACAACACCAGATCACACAACACACAACAACACACCACACACACAACACACCACACACAACACACAACACACAACACACCACACACACACACACCACACACCACACACCACACCCACACCACAACACACAACCACAACACCCACACCACACACACCACACACAACACACAACACACACCACAACACACACAACCACCCCACACCCAACCCACCAAACAACACCAAACCACACACACAACCCCCAAACCACCCCCCAACCCCCCCCCCCCACCCCCCACCCCACACCCACCCCCTCAAATCTTTATATAATACCCATGTAAAACATAGTACCGAATTGGTTTCTATTATTGTTATAATACGATATCAGAACAATTGAGCTGCTGAAAAACGAAGTCAGGGTGGTTGAAACTAAATAATATATAAAAATATCATTATGTTTCTTTATGAGATAAATCCATAGTATCAAATCAGGGTGAATAAGATTCAGGGACAACTGTAACAAATATCATATGTCCACTTCTGTAAACTTTCATTTTTAATTCACCAGAAGATTCGAGAAGTTTGTAAACTGATCTAGCTCCAGAAATAGAATCACCGTTAATATGTGTCACAATATCTCCAGGTTGTAAGCCAGCACTAAAACAAACAGAATATTCAATGGTGATATGGTAAAAAATAATAATAATAAATCGATATTATTGTTATTTTTAGTTACACGTAGTACTTACATTAACAACTGTGGACATAGCCATCTATGGACAACTTAAGGTTTCATATATACACACATTGTGGCTTTTTCACTATTTCTATTGGTCATACGATAACTTATATTTCAAGATCTATGATTTATTGCTAAAGAATAAAATCTATTCGAAGAAAATTTTTTTTGGTAGTATAATCTTGTTAAGGAAAAAGAAATTTTAATCTTGGTATCAATCATAATCCTTGAAAATTTCATCAAATCAAATTAACGGCAATAAGTATTATGCCTGTCACATGAATTCGACTATGGTAAGACAGACAGTTTAAAAACTTATATTAACTTCCTTTCCCTATGTTCACTGCCTGTCATATATTCTTAACAATCAAGTACATAAATTGTAATTGTTAAATGGAATTTGATGAAATTGATATTAATCTATTTGCTGGGCCAAATCAAATGAGTCATTTTTTAAATAAATGAATATAAAGGAGAATAATTGGAGGAAGTTGGACTGTTCTACATATTATGGGTGATTAAAACTTTTAAATGACTGCATCATCCTGAACATTTATCTAAATATTAAAAAATATAATATAAAAAAATATTCTACTAAATATTAAATAGCTGAATATTTATATAAAGAAGAATAGATTAGCACAATATTTTTTTGAAAATAGAGGAAGTAATATGATAAAACTGATATCTACTTGATATTTTTTATTTTTATCAATGTCTAGCTTCCTCCAACTAAAGGACAAATCAAATCTGCAGTTTTTGAGATATAAGAGAATGAAGGAAAATATGTTTGCTTACATGCAAGAGGAATTAGGAAATGGATTTTGATAAGTTATCAGTTTTTCACTAATCCTCAAACTTTGAGTTAAATTGACCTAGCCATTTTCAAAATATAACAAGGTAATCGAAACTACTAGTAATTCTAGCAAAATATAAAATTTTTTTTTCAACCAAATAATGTTCTCATTATTTTTCTTATTTGGCAACTAACCACTATAAATTTCAAAATAGGAGAAGGGAGGCAATATAATCATCTCAGCCAGCTGTTTTGTATAGACCTGCCATGAAATTAATAAATGAATCTTAATTGAATTTACAATTTAGAGATAAAGAAATAGAAAAACCAAACTGCTATTAACAGGACCAGATGTTGATTCATTTTAATGAGGCACACAGATAGAATATTTAATCTTCATAAAAAAAAAAAAAAAAAATCCAAAAGCATCCTTATTTCAAGAAAAAATATCTTTCCACTAATGACAGGTATCTTCAACCAAATATCAAAGAATTAAGGTGTCCTTATTTAGGAGTATTCAATAACAAGTCATGAAGAGTAGCTCAAGACTAATTCTTAAATAATTTTATAACTCATACATCATCCCCTAATTAGAAGTTAGTTATTTATTATATCCAATCAAATTATTAAAGGACAAACTTCAATACCCAAAGGCAGGTGAGCCAACCATAACTTTCCAAACTAGAACTCCAGAATTGATGTCTGTCGGGAATCCGTCAGTCTTCTGTCTCAGCTGCCTGATTAATTCGGGAGTTAATGATAACATGGTTATACCAATGAATTTCTTAAGATTAGCAGGAGCTTCAGTCACTGGAGCACCTGAAAATAGGATGTGTGTTAATGACGAGTCCTAAAGATAGAAATCTTTATTTATTTACTATGCTATATATTCACGCTAAGTTTTGAATCACCTTACCCATCTCTATATTTAATACCGTCTAGTTCTTTTCTAATCTACTGAACGAATGTAAACAATATTTATTCAGCTTAAAATCAACACATATTTCTGTTATTAATATAAACAATTAACAAGTTACAAAATATATTTTGTAATGTACCCAAATAAAATTACAAGTAATCTCTATACTGGATGTTACTCTAATTGAAAAAAAAAATTACTTATTGAAGAACAATGGGTATCGTTAGATCTGCCTAAGGCACTCATATCCTCCCAGTGTTTCATATAATTTTTTTTTATTATTATTTTCAAAAATTATTAATAAAAAAATAAACTGAAATCATATGGAATTCTTAAGCAAATATTTACAGGGTAGACGAAATTCATGTCCTAAGATTTAATCCTACAGTAGAAATGAAAAAATCTTAAAGCTTTGCTTGTCTTATAGTTCAGTAAAAACAATTTTTTTTCATTTAAATACATGACAACTAAAAGAATTTCGACCTTTCAATAAAAAATAAAATATAAATGAAAATTTCAATTATGATTCAGCTATCATAGCCATATATGGAAACTAAAATGAATAGCAATTATTCAAATTGGGTTCGGAAACAACATATCAACAAACAGGGCTAATTATGATAACTTCATAATTATTGTTATACAGAAACTCCATTTATCATTATATAAATACGCAGACAATTTTTTAAAAATTTATTATTAATTTTTTAATTATGTACTACAGTCATGACATCAAGTCATTTATATGAATGTCCTCGTCTAGAAGAAATAAGACAGAACTACTCTTCTGACAATACTAATTGATCAAAATTGGCAAACCTCTATTGGGCTACAAGAGGTCTTATGGTGGAAGAGTCATGACCATATGGCATAATAAAAAAAATTTTGTTGTTGTTAGTAGCTATTGACAGGCTTTAGTTTAATCAATAAACAATTTTTGGAAACAATTTATATAAACAAAAATGTATAAATGTTAGTTAGTTTGTTCAAAGCCAGTAATATATGAAGATTCTTCACTAACTGCATCAAAATTTTGATACAAAGTTGCAATCAAATTTAAGAATGTTTTTATATACGTTTCAACACCATCTGGCCTTTCATTTCGAAATGGTGGCTGAAAGACTTATGTTGCTATAGACTGTAAAGGCCCAAAACTGCTGTAACGACTTTAAATCTTTGAAGACCTTTTAATTTAAGCATATAAAATGTTTTCCCAAACCAAAAAGAGGTTGAAAAACGAGTTACAATGGATTCACAATTTTATTTGCGAATAACTAAAGAATTACATAATTTTTGGTTTGTTATACCCATAAATATTTGAAAGCTTCTTGAATTCCCTACAAAGGAAAAAAAAATTCTTCGAAATGGGTTAGAATTATCTCCGAAATGAAACAATTAGTAACAGACAAAGGAGCAAAGCGGTTTAAAATATTTTTTTTAACAAGAAATGAATGAATGAATGGATTCCGATCACTTTTAAGCATCGCCCACTTCCGAGCACTAATAGCACTAAAGAAAGCAAGCATACCACCACAGAAGCCTAAGTGATACGACCTAAATAAGCTTAAGGATCCAATAATTCTCGTACAATATTAATCGGGACTGGATATGTGTATTCGGCAGGTGGATGTTCTGGCAGGTGATATCAACACCGCATTGGACTGCATACTCAGAGGCTATATCAGATACAGCCTTACGGAATGATCAAGCAATAGTGCCCTATCAATGCCTACTGTCACCTTCTATTTTTTAAAAATATTTTTGGCATTAATTAAGGTTAATTTAGCGTTATCTTCTTTATCAATAAATTACCGATTTTTAATTTATTAATGTCAGTTTTGTTTATATTGATGATAAGATTTTCTTTTTAACCATTTTCCAATGTATTCATTTATTAAATTATTTATTAATTTCAATTCTTCATATTCTCGAGATTTTTTATTGCTTTACTTAATAGTTCTATTTTTTTATTTACTATCCTACAGGTTTGTTTTATTTCTAGGACTATAATTTTATTGGCTAATTTTCTGAAATAACCACAATTATTTGTATTTATTAAAAACAAATTATCAAGTGTTTATATCTTATAATACATATAGAGGGAATGGGAGAGGATTTTATTTTATATTTTATGTTGTTTAAGAACGAAGAACATTAGCTGATAAAATAAAAATGAATTATATAAGTATGAAAAATGAAATGAAAAAATAATTTTATTCTGGGACTAGTGTCCCCTAAGAATAATAACAGAGTTACAAATTTATGTATCTTAGTCTGAATAATAAAAATACCAACTAATTTATTGTTAATTCTTATTTCAATTGTGCAATGGATTGAAATTAAACATTGTATAGATGCAAGTAATTTTACATGTTAGGGGAAGTTTGAATGTGGAGTAGGTGTTGGAACAGGAGTTGTTTGAAGGAATTTGTGGATGAGGATTGACGCATGGGGGTAGGAAGTGAGTTCCATAAGGAAGCAGCACGAATGACGAAGGATTTGCTGAAGGAGGAAGTTTTATGGGAGGGAATATATAAGTCTATAGGTTGAGACCTAGTATTGAGAGAGTGGATAGAGGAGCGCAGAGTAAGGAGTTCCAGGATGTAGGGAGGGTTTTTAGTTCTGAAGACTTGGAAAAGGAAAACGCCAAGAAGGAATTGTCGTCGGGAAGTAGGATAAAGCCACTTCAACTCGGTGTACCATAGTGAAACATGTGAACGTCTGGGGATCCCGAAAATGAATCTTATGAAACAATTCATGAGTCTTTTTAGTCTCAATTCCAGCCTAGCAGATAGCCCTCCATACACCAAGCAGCCGTAGTCGAAGTGGGGGAATACAAGGGAGTTACAAGGAGCTATCTGGTTTTTAGAGGAATACAATCACGGAATCTTAGGAGTTGTTTAAGGGCAGTTATGGATTTTCGGGTAATCTGGGAGATATGATTATCCCAGGAGAGGTTCTGGTCAAAGGTTACTCCTAGGTTTTTGACTGTAGGGAAAAAATGGATGGGGTGGTTATTGAGGTAAAGTAGAGGAGAGTAAGGAAGGGAGCTGATGAGATTTTTGGACCCGATGATAATACCCTTGGTTTTATCTGCATTCAGCTTTAATTCATTTATTTCTGCCCATCTGTTGATGCAGTCGATGTCCTCTTGTAGCCTACGGGCAGCCTCAGGCATCTCAGAAGGTTGGAATGATTGGTATATTTGTAAATCATCGGCATATAGGTGGTAATTGGAGTGTTGAATGGCGTTAGGAAGGTCACTAATACAGATAGAGAAAAGGGTCGGGGAGAGTGAGGAACCCTGAGGAACACCTCGCGTTAATTGAAGTGATGATGATGGAGGTTTATTCGGTATTGCGACTGTCTGAGATCGATTGGATAAGAAGGATAGGAACCATTTTAGGATGCTGTTTGACATGGGCAGGCTTTGGAGTTTGGAAAGAAGGATCTCATGATTAACGGAATCAAACGCCTTGGAAAAGTCAAAAAGAATTGGGATGGAGATTTTCTGTTTATCTATGGTGGATTGGAGGTCTTGGGTAATCCTTAGCAAGGCACACTGGGTGGAATACTGGGATCGGAAACCAGATTGTAAGGGATTGAGGAGATGGTTTTGCTCGAGAAAGCTGTTCAATTGAGAGTGAACTAATCTTTCTAGAGGCTTGGATAGATTGGAAAGGATGGAGATGGGTCTGAAGTCGGAAGCTGATGAAGGAGTTGGAACTTTGTTCAGTGGACGGACTATGACTCTTTTCCAGGATTTGGGAAAAATGGAATTTTGGAGAGAGAAATTATATATATATATATATATATATATATATTATATATATAAGTATATAGTATAATATATTTTCATATATTATAATAAAATTGTAAGAAATGTTATGTTGCTCTAACAGCCTTTAAAATAGTCTCTGAGTATGGGTAAAGAGGCCAAAATGAAGACAAATGAAATAAATATGATTATATGGAAGAAAGAAAAACATTTTCATAAAAATTATACCGATATATTTAGTAAAAATTTAAATAAATCTTAGTCAATTTCATTACTTTTTTTTTACTGATAATGTACTAATATATTAATAGAAAATTAAGGATAAATTATTTTTATAATGGTGGAGATTACTATTTAGTGCCATAGTAAATGGTAATAGTGAAGTGCTTTATAAAATAATTGACTTACAAAATGTATTAATTAACTTTTTTACATCAGATAGCCACATTGATTCAACCACATATAACTAAAACGGAATTAAGAGATTTGCATTGTCTGTCAAAAGTTTTCATTGAATTATTCATTAATTTAATTTCAAAAATGTTACAATTTTTCGGAATAAACGGACGTTGATACTTAATAATTTAAATATAATATCACATAAAGAATTATTCAACTACAGTGAATGTATTTAAGGTTATAAACATATGCTTTATACATCCATGAAATGGTTTTATATTTTACTTCTTCTTTCATACAAGTACAATGAAATAGCTTTCTTTAACAATGTTATTGCCTTGATTAGATGTATTTTAAATACTTTTTTCAATCTTATAAATATTTTTAAAGTTTACAGTTAGTTATTAAATTTCATTTGATTTCCTTAATTCCACATTGATTTTCGTTAACTAATGTTAGTTTTAACAGATTATTATTTATAATTTTTTCGCCACTCTCCGTTACCTTCTATAACTTTCTATATTAGATATTGTTTTTACTAAAATTCTCCACTTTCCACCGATATATTATACGTATATCTTCTGACTATTATTTCCGGAGATTCATTTTCGACCTGGATAAGCATTTTTCTCTTTTATTTAATTATCAAATTCTTTCAAAAGTTATATTTAGCATTTTTTCGTAACTCTTAATAATGGAAGATAGTTAATTATTTAAAATAAACCATATTAAAGGTACATTAGAGGAAGACCCATATGAACATTGGGCATTTAAGCCCTGAGTGACATCAACGGAGATAAGACCTAAATAATATTAAAGACCACTTAATTATACAATGATACACCGAGTTTAATCAAAATCGTTAAGAGCCGTTTTTGAGAAAATTGTAAAAATGTGTTTCACCATTGATATAAAGTGGCACTTCCGGTTATCCGAATTTAATGAAAAGGTTGCTGTGACATCTAACGCATATACCTATTTTAAATACATAATATCAGTTTCGGATGAGTTTTCGTTTTTAAGCTAGAATGTTCACTTACACACAGACCATTTTTCAGGAATTGGTTGTTTGGACTCAGGTTATCTCAAAACGTATATTTCTGTTCTAACTCAAATTCGAAAATTTTCACAATTGCAATACTTTCCCTTATTATAAATTACATATATATCAGTGAAAGTGAAAGTAAAAACAAGATAAGTCCAGAATCACTAAATTTTAGATCAAAGCTTATTAAAATATTTTTTTTAAAATCTGGTGCGTGCAACAGAAATCAAAAATTGAATAGAAATTATTTTCTGGCATTATTGGGCTATTATAAAATTTTTGAAGTGCATTTTAAACGGAGCTAAAGCTTAAAGCTTATAGATAACAAATCATTAAGACCATTAAAATTACAAAAAGTCTATTTATTATATCGACGATAGGCATTAAAAATCTAGTTACTCCATCTGCTTTTATAAACCACACAACTTCAGTCTCTGAGCCTTTCAGTTGACAGAACGACTAACTCCAATTTCAACATTTTTGAGTAATCCCATTGAAGTGATATTTCTAGTTGGAAAAGTTATATCTATACAGACAGAGTGTAAGTTGATTCCAGAATAGGCGATTGTAGTGTTGAAATATAGAAATGTTAATAAAGTTATAAATTTTGCCACTAGAAACATCACTAAAATTAATAATAAACAATGTTGAAATTGGAGTAAGTCATTCTGTCAACCGAAAGGCTCATATATGCCTAGAGAGATTTGAAAGTATTGTATATCTAAATATTTAACCTATAAATGATAATGGATTGAAGGACTATTAGTTATTAAACTGTTATTTTCCATTGTAAAGTTTACTAAAATGAAATTATGAGATTTTCAATGCCTGCCATAGATAGGTCAAAAGTTGTCACACTAATTGTAAGTGGATAATTTTGGGATTTTGCAAAGGGAACATTCATCAAATTATTTACTAATTTAATTTCCTAAAAGGATACTTGATGATTTTTTGGAATAAACGACCAATAGATACCTAATTATTTAAATATAATATCATATCTAGAGTTATTAAACTACAGTAAATGTATTAAAGGTTACAAACATATCCATGAAATATTTTTATATTTCACTACTTTTTTCACATAAGTACAATGAAATAGTATTTTAAACAATGGCATTGGCTTGATTAAAAAAACATTACATTTAGTAAGAAAATTTCATTTAATTTCCTTGGAAACATGCGATTTACTTTAAAGAATGATAATTGGTAATTGGTTGACTGTCGTGGATAATAAAGAGAAGAATAGTTGGGGTGCTCAGTCAAAAAAGGAAGGCAAAAAATAAATATTATAATTTATTTTTTGCCTTCCTTTTTTGACTGAGCACCCCAACTATTCTTCTCTTCATTAAAGAATGATAGTTTTTTGAAATTATTATTTATATTTTTTTGTCACTATCTGTTACCTTCTAGAAATTTATTTCTTAGATATTATTTTTTTCTGAAAGTCACCACTTTCCAACGACATATTATATATATACCTTATGACTGTTCCAAAGATTCGTTTTCGACCTGGAAAAGCATATTTCTTTTTTTCTCCTTTATTCAATTATTGAATTATTTCAAAATAAACCATATTGATTGAATCTTTATTGAGTTAGTTTTTGGTCAGATGTGTATTTTTTTTCTTTTGTAACTGTGCATTATTGTTATTCTAAGAGGACATCGTCCCAGAATAAAGTTCATTTTCTATTTCTATTAAAGGTACTTTAGACGAAGATGTATAGGAACATTGGGCATTTAAGCCCTGTAAAGCTACATCTATGGGGATTGATATCACCTCAATGATATTAAAGACCACTTAATTATACAATGATACACCGATTTTAATCAAAATTGATGGAGCCGTTTTTTGAGAAAATTGTAAAAATGTGTTTCATCGTTGATATAAAGTGGCACTTCTGGTTAGCCGATTTTAAGGAAAAAGTTGCTGTCACATCTAAGGCATACATCTATCTTAAATACGTAATATCAGTAATGGTACGTAATGGTTCCTAGGTAGAGAAAATGGTCTACAGACTTCAAGAGTTTCTCTGTCGTATAGCAAATGTATATGTATGTATTCATTATGTAAGTCCAGACATGCATGGTTTTTACATCACCGCATAATAGATTTTTTATCGACTAATAGCATAATCTTTCTCCCATTATTTATCATGCAAGAAAAGATTGACATTAGATTTGCGGCTTGTTCTTGCACCAATCTCAATCGTTATATTTTCCACAGATAAAAATGCATTATAACATTTTTTGGAAAATTTGGACTTACTGGTTCTTGCATCAAGGAACTTAAAAAAGAGGAACATTTGTAGTAGATAGCCTCCAGTATTTACTCCTTTATGTGACATGTGTACCTGGAGAAGGACGCCGGGGAGAAAAGAAGGCATTCTAGGCTGGGACAGGAAGAACAGAGTTATCAGAAGAGAGAGGCACTGCACTGAAGATTAAGAAGATCAAGCCTATAGTTATAAGACTTTAATAGATTCACTTATTACAGTTGTAAAAATAAATTGTTTTGTTAGACAGGAGTGAAAAGTCATTTATTTATTTAGTTGTCTCATAGGCCTCACAATTGAAGAATAACAAATCAGTTGAGTCAATTCATTCAATGTGTGTTTACTAAGTCCCATATTATTTATATATATTCTTATTATTTCTTGTCACTCAGTGTCACAAAAATATTAGGTTCCCGAATTCCCAACAACAGTTAAACACCCTCAAAAAGTCTATATCCAGTGCCGGGGTTTTGTTTTAAGGAAATTAAATTCACGAGTGTAAATAACCTAATTCCCTGACAAAGCGGAAGGCTATTTGCAATTAGCCGTCAAAACGTGTTATTTACAATTAACCCTTCTAATGAGTTGTTTACTTTAATTCTTAAAGGACCCCGAATATATTATTTACACATTATTGTAAACCAACAGAAACTTCAAAGAGTTTATATGGCACTATAGATTGCACTCATTTAATATAACAATATTTGTTTACATATAAATAAGTACATAATAAAACATATTCATGTTTATTCTATAAATTTTCTCTCATTCAAAGAGGACTAAACTGTTCATAATTAATATAAATTATAAATATATTACCTTTCCTTTTCTGTTCATTTAATCTTATAAATTCTTTAGCATATTCCACAGGAATAGCAAATGAAATTCCGGTAGAAACCTTCATAGCGTTAATACCAATCACTTCTCCATCAAGGTTAACCAAAGGGCCTCCAGAATTACCAAACTACAAATTGATCATTATTGAAACATAAAAGTTAATTTTTAAAGATAAAACATATTTTAATAAAATAAACATAGTAAGTAGCCATTTTACGATAGAAAAGGTGGATATTAATTTTTATACAAATTTAAATCAACATATATAAAAGAAAAAGAAAAACTATATAACTTTTAACTGGTTTATAAAATTTGAAGTAGTTTTGCATTTAAATATAAATCGTTATACTGTTTATATAGATCGTTTAACACTATTATTAATGGGTAAATCATGCCAAAAATGTTTTACAAGCATTATTCTAATATTTTAAATTTTTCAACTTTTCTGTATATTTTTCTTCTACATCTACATATGTTTTTCTCCACACTTTTAGAAGTTTTGATATTTCTTTCAGAAATAACACAAAAACTTTGCATAGAATTCTGCGAAGTGATATCAGAAAAACAAAAACAATTTAACACTAGGTAACAAAGTACTACTTTTATACAATCAGAAGAAATATAGCCATCATTCAAGACTAATTGGCAGTGACTAAGTCTTTTTTTCAGATGCATTTTTAAAAATAAATACTTGTATTTCATACAGATTTAAAGATTTTAAAATGCATTACAAGAAATGACTTGAGCTTTAGGAACTTTAGGATGAAGTTCAACAAAAGCGAACAATTCTCGTATATCTTCTTCAGATATCTTTCTATAACAATATCTTCTCGAGGAATAAACCCTATACCTCACAAAAAATTATCTATTTCATCTACATATTGAGATGGTTCAAACAAGAACCATCCTTTTTATGTTTGTCACAACTGTACCCTCTCTGCAATGCCAGTTTCACAATAACTCTTTTGATATATTATGGGAACTTATTTTCTGTTTTTATGTTCGCATCTGGTGTTTTATTGTTGTTAGTGTACTGCATTTTGTTATGTAGTGTGTTACTTTGAGGGTTGTTGTTAATTGTGAAGATGGTTGGTTTTTTTGTGGTTCCGTGGGGTTTTGTCACGGGGGTGGCATGTGTATGATATGCGGGCGGTTTGGTATGTGGTTGTTTTTTTTTTGGTTTTTCAGTCGGGGTTTAGTATTGTATTGGGAGGTGAAAAACTTTATGGAATTTGGGAGGATGGATGGAAGAGGGTGGGGGGGATGAAGTTGGGGTTTTGGAGGAGGGGGGGGTTTGTTTGGTTTCGTGATGGTGGTTGGGGATTTGGGATTGGTGGTTTTGTGAGTGTGTTTTTGTTGTGTAGTGGGGTGGTTTGTTGAAAATTGAGTATAGGGTTTTTTTGTGTTTTTGGGATGGCTAAGTATTTTGAGAGGGGCTGGGTGGATTTGGTGGTAGTGGTAGGTATGGGTGGTGTGGGATGGACGGGAAGGGTTTGTAGTAGGGTCTGGTTGTACGAATAATTTCAAATCTTTGGATGTTCTAGATACAGTTGAAATTACACCCGTAGTGATGGTATTAGTAAGAGATAGAGGACTACCCATTGCAATCACCCATTCACCAACTCTTGCATCTTCTGAAGATCCAAGCTTCATCGTTGGCAACTTTTTCTATGAAATAAGCTGTTATTGAAATATAAAATTAACCAATAACTAACCAATTGTTCAAATAACACTTATTGAAAACCTTACCCCTGCATTTATTCTGACAGTAGCTAAATCAGCTTTCATGTCAATATCCTCTACAATCCCCACATAAGTTGTTCCATCATGCAGCCTAATCTAAAATAATAAAGACTATAGTTTCCAAATTTACTTCTAATTTTAAGGGTCTATTTCTATTATACTTTTAATTTGGTGGCAGGCCGAGATAGAACAACATGAGCATTAGTTAAAATTAGACCATCATCTGATATAATAAAGCCTGAGCCATTGGATTCTGTAATGTTCTGTCCAGTAAAAAAGTCATACCTAAAAATTTATAAAGTACTTAACTTGATTTTATAAAACTTATTTGTAATTTGAAATTCAATGAACATCAAATTACCTCCTGCTGTCAATAATCTCTATGCTTACTAATGCATTCACTGACTGTTCTACAACATCAGCAATGAAATTATATTGTTTTCTCCTAGAACCAAGAGATATGGCACTCACAGATGGAAATAAACTTATTTCTTTTTTTCTCGTGCAATAATAAAACCCAATTCCCAATAAAGCGATTGATAAGGTCCTTGTTTTGTAAAGGTTTTTACTTCTTTGTTCTTCATGGTGGCTTTGTTCATGAGCTGTGTAAAATAAGGCAGTTTTCTGACTCGTTGGCAAAAACAGTTTATTATATCTCAAAAACTTCCAAAATTGTCTGTAACGGGCCAACATTTCTATCAGATGTAAACATAACCTCCCATATCAGTTCTGAAGAACTTGGAGGTTTCAATCGGATAAGTCATGTAGGACCAGTTCTTATTTTCTACCTCTTTGATTAAAAGATAGCAAAACAATCGAGTAATGCATATTAAAAAGTAATGCCAACACTTTCGTTGACATTCGTTGGATTTAGAAATAATTTTCAATATTGATGTTTAAGAAACTGAAACTAGCAGCTATTTAACCTTTACATGGTCTATTTAACTTAATTCTAAAAAACAGAATTTTTTTATGCCAGTAGGTAAAATAAAACCTAAAATTAAGATTTAATAACAAAGAGGTATATTATAAATTTATGAAATAGTAAATAATATTTATGAATAATTACTTTTATTTTCTAAAATATAATCTATAA